ATTTTGTTTTTCTTTTTTAAATTTTCTTAGAACAATTTATTCGACTTTTACCAAATCTTTTTAAATATTTATCACATTTATATATATTAACAAATTTATTTTCACCATTATTTGATTTATTATTAACATCTATTGTTAATGATGAATATACAAAAATTTTCTGTTCAAAATGTGGTAGTATTGCTGATGAAAGGTTAGATTAAGGAAATAAAATAAAATTTTATCTATAAAATTCAATTTAAATAGTTGTAAAACATTTGTACAAAATTTCTATGAAACAAATTTATTTGATGATTCAATTTGGCAAAGTGATAAAGTAAAAATAAACTTCTTTTCATTTATATTAATTTAATATTATTTTATATTTCATAGCAAACAAATTTATTAGTAATGATTTATTTTATTGGAAATTTAAAACGAAAAGTAATTAAAATAAATTTTTATTTTTCAAATGAAAAAAAAAATATTTTTTGTTTTAAAAGTTTTTTCAACATGAATTAGAATTAATTTTTAATAAAATTAATGAAAAAATATTTAATCAATCATCAAATGAAATGACAGATATCTATTTTTATTTTTATGGAAATTTAATTAATAAATTAGCTTCGAAAAGTAAATTTTCTTTTATAACTTTATTGTTTTTCATACGATTTTTATTTTTATATTAAGATGAAATACTCGAACATGCTCGGTCGATTATAAAACAATGTGAAACATCTCCTGATGAAAAACATATTCATCTATGGACAATTATTGTTAAAGCATTAATATTATATCGTCCTTCATTTATTGAACAATATATTCCAACAGTAAAATTTTCTAAAAATTTAAATAATTTTTTAATATTCTTTAATTTTTAGTTAATATTATGGATGAATGAAAAGACTAATATTGCTAATTTAGCATGTCAATCATTAAAAAGTTTAACAAATTTTAATGAACAAACGTTATTATTATCATCTGATGCCGATTGTATTATTCATCCAATGGTTAAACAAATTATGTTTATGAATATACTTTCACAAATGAAACCACTTTTGATTAACAATGGTTTGAAATTATTTATTTGAAATTAAAGGAAAAAAAACATAGTAGCAAATTTTTTTTTATTTAAAAGAACACAGTAGCTTTTTTTGGTTACCCTCACGGCATGACTCTGTTCGTGAGCATCACCGTGGCAGCCTCGCAGTTCCTTAGTAGAATGTCAAGCTACTAGCATTATTTTTCGGTCTCATACATCGATTACCGATGACTAGATCCAAAATACTCTAACCTCAGACGTTAACAATTTTGTTTTGTTAGCAGAAAAATTTCGATTATGAACTCGCAAGTAGCATATGTATTTGAATTAAAAACTAATGCTAACAGCTTGGGATTAATTAATTCTAATGCAAATAATAGGATCACTTTATTTATCGGAAGAGTAAACAACGAACCATTAGAATGTCATTCATCAAGGTTGTCTACAGCAATTTTTATCCTCTTATAGAAATAATGAAAACGGCTCACTTTTTTTTCGAAAAAGATTTATAAATCATCAAATATTTAGATGATTAAAACGATTAGGAAATGCTAAGTAAAATATAATACAATTTTTACTGGAGACATCACTTTTTGTTTTAATTATTTTTCCTTTCGGCTGTTCTATGACCAATCATAAGAATACTTGAATAAGAGAGAAAGTATGACAAATAGATACCTCTTTTTTTTTATGGTCCATTGAATGACATAAAATTAAAAAAATAAAGAGAGTGTAGGAGTCTCTGTTGAGTTTCAATTGTCTGTTTTTATTAAAGTTTATTAGGTTTTTGAACAGCCGTGATAATATTTATTATAAATATTGACGACGTATAGAAAACACGATCGGTAGATTTGAATATACCTCGACTTTTTCTCAAGGGCAAGGGCCTAGAACAGCTATTAATCGAATTTCGAAAACATATCAGTTTATACAGTGAATATCAGAGAATAAAATTTACAATTGAAAAATACATGTTGTGTTAAATCTGATTTTTTAGTGAGACATTTAGTTGATTCCGATGTAGAATCATTTTATGATTGATAGTACTTTGTGAAGAGTTACATAATAAGAGATTGCATAATTCATAAGTTCTTTCTTCAAGACAAATTGTGATACAGATATTACAATTTTAACAAAGCATTCTTTCATATAGAATTATTACCAAGTCAAATGAATGTACTCGTTGATTTATTAAGTAATGTGCCAAAATCTATTATTCAAGATGACATAATCTCAGTAAGAATTTTTTTATAACAAAAAAAAAAACTAATCTGCTTTTTTTTTTAAATTTACTTTCAAATAGTTATTACCTATTTTAATTCGAGCATTAGCACCATCAAATGAATCAGCTTGGCCATCAGCACTTAATTCAATATCTGATTTAATTAAATCTGAACCAAACAGTATAGTTGATCATATTGATACACTTTTTCCACGTTTAATTACTTTAGCAACTTATCAAAAAGATATGGTAAATAAAAATTTGAAAAAATAACAGAATTAAATATTGTTTTTTTTTCTAGTCAATTCGTATTACAAGTTTAAAATGTTTGAAATATTTAACAAATTTACCTACACATAAAATTGAACCATACCGACGTAATATAATACATCTATTAAAAGTATGTGTTGGTGATCATAAACGTCTTGTAAGAAAAGAAGCTGTTGAAACACAAATGTCATGGTAAATTTATTTAGAGAATTGTTTTTTTTTCGCTTAGAAAAAAGAAAACAGAACAAATATTTGTTTTAGGTGTTTATTAAATGCATAGTTAAACAACGATGACTATTTACTGATTTCGTTTTTTTTTTTCAACTATAAAACTCTAGCCATGATTTATTTTGATGTTAATCACATGATTTTTGTTGGTTGCTTTTTAGATAGATTTTAGAAAAATAAAACTGTTATAATTTATTGTAAATACTTGGAATATTCTTTTATGTATTCATGACATAGAATACAAAATTAGATATTTGTATTTGATTATGTATATGCATATAATTTATTATGAATGAATAATTATTAAAAATTAAAATACAACATCATAGTGATGATTTTAATCAAGAATTCAATGGATGAATCATACGAAAAAAAAAAAATTTATCAAGTACAATAAGTCAAATATTAGGAAAAAATCCAAATTTCACAACTCCGAAGATTTACTATAAGAAATCATGAGATTTTTATTTGAAATTAGAGAAGTACGTTAGAATTTTTTTTTGTCTTGAAGAATAATAAAACTTTCTTTCCAATGAACGTTTTTCTCACTATCATGTTACTTCGATAGTCAATATATTTTCTTCGAAATCATCTAAGATTATCATTAAACCTTCTATCATCAATCGTTTCACAAAAGTTTAATTGAAATATACAAAACAAAAGATAACTGGAAATTCAATATGCATTAGATAAAATAAGTCTATATGAAAAATAAACTATTTGACGTGTGATTTTTAGTACTTTACGAACATGACTGTATTGTTGTCACGAAAAAACTTTTCTTAAAGAGTATTAAGGAGAGGAAATTCTCCAACTGATAAATCGCTTTTAATTCGAGACTATGTGCATTACGTAGACTCAAATGAACTATGAATAACCTAAAAAGAGTTCGTGCTCTTAGTTTATTACTATGGAGATAGTACACTTTTACAGTATTCTGTTTCGATGAATGTCGTGGTAACAGAAAAACTGATTTTCGAATTTCGACTGGAAACTTTGCATAGAAAGAGGCTTAGTTTGTTCTATGAATGTTTCAAATTTTGTTGCTATTCTTATCCTAAGATACAACTATGATTATAGCGTGTGTTTTACACATCGATCATATAAATCACCAAATTTGATATTCTTATTTCAGGATACAAGCAAATTAAAAGATTTGAAACATTCACAATAGACTATTCTCGTTAAGGTTTATAGTTTCAAGTCGAAATTCAAAAATCAATTTTTCTGTTACCACAGCTTTCATTTTAAAAACTACCGTAAAAGTGCTGCATCTTCGTAGTAATAATCTAAGGGTGCAAACTTTTTTCAGAGTATTCAAAGCTCATTTCGAGGACTTTTCTCATAAGGAAATAGTTAAAAAATTGTGTACACTAGTAGTTAATGTTGGTCATGTATCATTCTATTGCAATTTTTCTCTAACAAAAATTCCATAGGGTTCAAAACAGCTCCCAGAAAGACTAAATCTATTCAACATTGAGATAAATCAGTTCTCGTTCCTTTTCTCTTGATGATTCACAACGCCTCTAAAAATCAGACGATTTGACACACTTGATAATCATCTTCATCAAAGTTAGATGTGTATAAGAAGCATGTGAAAAGAATGACCAATAGATCAAAGCCTTTTGTAGGATTTTGAAAAAAAATATATTATTAAATTCGTCTATATAATATAGAATCAATCGTAAATTTTCTAGTCATTTTTTTTTATTCTTCAAGGCATTGAGATCTAATTTTCTCATTACAAGATTTAAAGCATTACGCATTTGATAATTCTTAGGTTTCGAATTTCATAGTTCGAATATTTTTTAAATGCAAATATGTTAAGTTATATCACGAATTAGTAGAATGGTTTTTGCTATTGAAATTATTTGGTACCCAGTTCGAATCTATATCAAAGAACAAAATTGGAAATCTTTGCCATGATGATTTAATATATAGGTATGATTGTTAGTGATTCCAAATCTTAGAGCCTAATACAAATCTGAGCAAAGACGAAGAACTTATTTTTGTATATTTACATTGTATTAGAAGCAAGATGGTCTCGTTAATATGTCTAATTCGAACAATGCTACTCTTAAAGAAACATTCGAAAAAAAAAAAATTTTTTTCCTGTTTAGAAAATTTTATTTGTAAAAAATCAAATTCTGCAATTTTTGTTTTTTTTTATTTGTTTTATATATTAATAAAAAGAAAAGCACAATAATAGATGTCGAAAGATTTGTTTTATTTTTTTGAATTTGTTTCCTTTTTCAGATGATGTCGGAAGAAAATACTGAACAAAATGACTCAAATCTAAATATAAATCATCATGAATCAAATAGTAACAGTAATCATAATAATAATGAAAATACAATTAAAACTCAAGATAATCAATGGATTAATGAATTGCGGTTAGCACTTGAAAAAGGATGTGATTTAGGATCGATTCGTAATATTGGCAAATGTCGTCCACTTACAGATGATTTGAGATTACGTGTTTGGGAAGTAAGAAAATAATTTTCAAGTTTTTTTGTTCTCTATGAATGAAATTCAAATTTCAGACAGATGAAAATCCCACTAGATTTCATCAAATCTCTATTAATCAGTTCGAGTTTTAATAGAATCTGTAGAAATTCAAAAAGATTCTAACGAGAAAAGGTCTTCAAGTAATAATTAATCGACAAAGCCTAGTAAATAGGTAAGCACGCTAGAGTAGTTTGAGCTGTCAGAACTTTGTTGCTGTAATATCGAATTCTTAGTGAATTTACCCAGTTTTCAAACAAAATCATACTTTTAAATTTCGATCTGAAACGTTGCCCACATAAAGGTCGATAGAAAAAAAAGTTCACAATTTTGGTCTCTCCGAAATATAAATTTTTCAAAATATAGGCGATGTACGATGGTTGTTATAAAAAACATAAATATTTGGAAAGATTCGTATCTCGAGGAAACGAAAATTGTGAAAGTTATACATCAAATGGATAGGTTTATTAATTTGGTCAATATAGCCTCCGATTTATCTTCCTTCAAAAATAAATTATAACGTTTTTTTTTTAATATGATGGAAATTTCCGAAAGTAGAGCTCATATTCTTTTTGTATCTGAATTATGAATATGACTTTCATCGTTTGTATCTTTTATTAAAACTTTTATTTTTCAAGACATGCCTTGATATCAATGAAAGCAATAGTGAATATAAATATACTGATAGTAATGTCTTTGATTTACCTGAACAAAATGTAATACGTGATGATGTTTCACGTTTAGTGCGTAAGTTTAAATAAAAGAAATTACTTAACGAAATAATAAATTCTAAAGGTAATTTTATAGATACATCACAAATAAATCAAGATATGTTAACATCAAAAATGACTGATATTGAAGCAGTTATTACGCATTATTGTAAAAAAAGGTATGGAATTATATGAAAATTTTTATTCATAATTTATTTATTTGTTGTTTTTTTAAGTAATGAAACATATGAAAAAGGAAATGGATGGATTGAAATATTTAAACCATTGATTACTCTTGAATATAAAGATCGTTCTGAACTTTATGCATTATTTGCTAGTATTCGTAATCGTTACATACCACGGTAAGAATATTTTTGTAGTAATGTTTAAAAAAATAAAAATAAATATTTATTTTCAAGTGATTGTGAAGCTGATGGAATGCCTTATCATTTATTTCGATTATTATTACTTTATCATGACCCAGAATTGTGTAGGTTTTTTGATACAAGAAAAATTACACCAGATTTATATGCACATATTTGGGTATGATTAATAAAATATTGAATTTATGTATTAGTTTAATTTAATTTTAGATCCGAAGTTTATATGCTGGATCATGTTCATTAAATATTACTTTACCACTTTGGGATGGATATTTTCAACATGCTGATCAATTTTTTGCTTTTTTTCTCGCTCTAGTTTTGCTTATGTTTGCTAAGTAAGTTTAAACAAGAGATAAAATAATAATAATAATAATAGTTATCATTATTAAATATTATTAGAGAACAGGTGTTAGACATGGCTGATAAAGAAAAAAATGAAATTATTAGTAAATAATTAAAACAATTGTTTTGAATCAATCTGGTTTTTTTCACTTTTAAATTAGATTTTCTATCAAAAGCACCATCAAATCTAACTGTTGATGATCTAGATGATTTTTGTTCATTAGCTAATCATTATGCTTCCAATACACCTCAATCATTCCGCAAAGTAAAAAAAAAAGAAATTAATCGATTTCCAATTCATTTGATTTTTTGTATTTTAAACAAAAAAAAAAGGAATTCTACACATGTTTATTCAGTGAAACAGATCGATCATTTTCTCAAAAAGCTTATTCAATTTATCAAGCATTATGTCTACCTGTTTCCGTTCAAGAATTACTTCAAGCAAATCAATTAGGCGGAGTATAAAATAAAGTTTTATTTATATTTTCATTTATTTTTGTTTTTATATCTATTGACATTTACTAGACGGCAGGTGTCAGATATTTTATTGTTGATTGTCGACCAGCTGAACAATATAATTCCAAACATCTTTATACAGCATTTCATCTTGATGCAAATCTTGTAAAATGTTTTGTATTTTATTCTTTTTTATCATTAAAAATATTTTATTTTTTTTTTGTAGTTACTCGAAGATCCAAAAGAATTCGCTGGATCTGTCGATGCTCTTTTTGCTACAAAACAACGTGCAATTGATGCTGGTAAAGAACTTTCCATCAATTCTAATTCTTAATTACAATAGATAGTTCGATATTTTAAAGTATATCTTATTAGCTAATATTTTGATTTAACTATAGGAATGAAAATATAACAAATGTAAGCAAGATCTATTATCAACAATAATATCCTTCAACAATAAGTATTCAAAGCTATTCTGAATAGATTTAATTTATAGATTAGTTTTGTCAAGACTAAAGATGTGTGGGACGACAAGAAAAAAAAATTTGTTGGGACTTGAACCGAGATCATGAGAAAGAAAAGTTGCTGGGATTACGCAAAAAAAAGTTGTCCCATCTGGAGTTACATATTCTATGTTTTTAAACGAATTACCTTGTAGATTATATCAGTTAAGAACGGAGATCAGATTAAGACTATGACCAAGATTGGACCAAGACTGAGCTTATGACCAAAACCCGACTGACATTGGGGCTATAAGCAGGACCGAGACTGCCATCAAAGCAACTTAATCTCGCACATCTCTAGTCGAGACTTATAATTAATGCAATATCTAGTAGAAATACTCTAATGAACGATAGATTTCAAATTCATTTGAATTCTAACAAGTGTTTCTGTCGCTAAAATTTTATCAATTTTAGATAACAATTAGTAATCTAAACAAAGTTTTTCTTTTTCTTTCTTTATTTAGGTTCAACAGCAGGTGGTGAACATCTATGTTTTATAGGTTCAGGTCATGAAGAAGAAGATAAATATGTACGTATGGTTGTAGCCTATTTTTTACGACGAAATACAAAATATGTTAGTATTGCTTCTGGTGGTTATGAAAGTAAGTTTTATATGTTTCGTTATAGTTTTCAATATTTTATACTTATTAAAATAGTGCTTGCTAAAGCTATCGAAGATCCATCAATGTTAATTCAACCACAACAACATAAAATCTCAACAGCAATACATGATTCACTATCCATTGGATCAACACTTAAAAATAATATTGTAGAAAAAATACCTACAATTAATACACAGGTAAAATATTCAATATAAATTCTCTGTAGAAAAATAACAACATATTCTTTTTCATAGACGGCTTCATTCATCAATATGATTTCAAGTGCAGTTAAAACAAAATCTATTGAAGTTAAAGAGAAAGTTAAAGATTATATAAATTATACATCATTAACTGATTCATCTCATTCAATACCTAAGTAATTTTTATTATATTTAATTATTATTGATTTTTATTTTTATTCATTAGACATGTAAGTAAACAAGATAAAGTCAGTAATCTTTATCGACAAAATCAACCATCAGTTTTTTCACTCGATGAAGAAGAAGATGATGATGGTAAGAAAATATTGCTTTTGTTTTTCTTTTACAATCTTTATTTTCTATTATTTAGAAACAACATCATCTTTTCGACACCATGAAACATCTGAACTTGTTGATATTGAATCATGGTTTCTACGTAGTGATCTATTACATAAATATGAATGTGAACATTTCGATGAAAATGATACAACATATCCAAGGTAATAACGAACGAAATGAAATTATTTATTTTTGTTTGTTTTTTTGTTTTAGTCTTTTATTAGTATCATCAACACATTTATATATATTACGAAAATTACCTGAACATAAAACAATGGCTAATCTTGTTTCACGTCGTCCATTAAATACAATATCAAAAATAACAAGTAAAAAAAATTTTCCTGAAATCATTACATTTCGTTATGCATCAAATCAAGCCGAAGATGAAGAAGAAGAAAAATCTACAAAATCGAATATAAAAAATGCTAAAGCAAAAATTCCAATTGATTGTGATAAAGTTTATTTACCAGATGCAGGTGATGCTATAAAAAGTATCAAAATATTAATTATGAAAGAATTAAATATGTTTGAAATCTCGAATGAAAATTGATTAACTTAAATCTTTTTTTATTCTCTTAATGGTATTTCTTTTTTGCTTTTCTTGCCATTACGAATAGAAAATAACGAAAAAATTATTTACTTTTTAAAGCTAAAATATATATGTATTTAGTTGTTTTTTTTTGTTTTACTATTTGCAATATATTTTAATTTACAACTATTTTATTCTGGTTGGGTTACGATACAACATCAATAAATCAATACATTTATTTTTATCATTTTTGTATTTGTTCATTGATTAGACATGCAAAATATAAATCAATGAGGAAATCATTTTATATCTTAATTTTTTTGTTCTATATTTCTCTATTGAGATTTGAGATAATGGAAATTAGAATTATGAACAATTCAGAGTAATGCAATCATAGTTTTTTTTTCCAGGAAGGCGTAAATTCACTACATGTATTATTATTCTATTATAGCTAGTGTAATCTTTTTCTCATGTTTATGAACCATAGAATTTGATAAAAAAGAAAAAATTCACAGCCCTTATTCATTAATAAAATATCATTCTTTACAAGTTTTAGTTTAATAGAATATGTATTGTTTATACTATCTGAAAATTTCTAGGAAAAAAGTATTACTATGTACCCTGTTAATAGTCGATAAATGGCGAACGATCTCGTCTCAAGCAAGAAGAAACGAAACATATCAATGTAATTCATTTTATTTAAAAATAATAACCGATAATTGTATACTTCAAATTAGTAAGAGAAATGCTTTTATTGAAGTTTTCCCATATCACCATATATATTTCTAATAGTTTAGATGTTATAATTTGTCTTCTAGGGTATTTTTCGTTCCTATTAGATTGATTTTAAACAATAATATTTGTATTCATTTTAAGAGATTAAACAACTATTACTCGATTCAAAATAAAAGGAGCATTGTTATTTTTTGAATACCTTTCGATAGGAACAAGTTAGAGACCTGCGATTTTTATCGTTCGAAAGAGCGATGTCCGGGCTATCGATCTGTATAAAATTCATTGAGACGAAAGATGTTTTTGGGATTGACACTTTTTTTCTTTGCGTATTATTACAATAATCTCAACTCAAATTATATCGAAATGTAGCTCAAATCACCCTTTTTTCGGTATACAATTATCACATATTTTATTATCCCTCAACCTCTTATTCCAACCGGACTTCCAAAAAGAGTATGATAATTTTATAGCAAAAAAATTAGAGTGATTTGAGCTACGTTTTGATATAATTTGCGTTGAGATTATTGTGAAAATACGAAAAGAAAAAAATATCAATCCAAAAGCATCTTTCATCTTAATGAATTCTATACAGATCGATAGCTCGAACATTACTCTTCCGAACGGTAAAAATTGCAGGTCTCTATCTTGTTCTTATCAAAAATTATTCAAAAAATGACAACTTGCCTTTTATTTTGACTCAAGTAATAGAATAAATGATTAAAATCGTATTTGATTGGAAGTGTAACCCAATCGACTAAACCGCCACCGAGATATAAAAATAGATATTTAATTTTAAAAAATTTCCGACGTCTTAAATCAGTTTTTCGGAGCTGTTACCCTCTGATTTCTTGTCAATAAATTCTCTAACATTGTTTCCTGCCTTATTCATTTCAAAAATTCATTGAAAAACTTCGCCAATCAATGCATCGTTTACACCTCCACATATAGTACGTGGATGATGCCAAATAGTGTAGTGCTTTTAACTTCAATCTTCAAAATCTGATTTTTCACTTCTGAGAGAGCATATCCAACTGTCGGACGTTGTTTGACCTCATACTATGGCTATGAGTAGGACTAAGCGAAATTAATAAACCTCTAAAATGGATGAAATCCATGCATTATAACTGTTTCTCGAGGTCAATTATTCATTGGAAACTCAGTTAGAAGATTTTCATCTGAAATTTCGACCATGAATAAGTCTCACAGTCACTAGAATATCCTAAAAGTTTCAGCTAAAATGAATGTATTTTTCTTGAAATATCGAGTATCTAAGATAACTTGATTCTATGGCTTTTCTTGATATAACTAACCAGGGAAGTATCCGAAGTGATTAACTGCTTTTGAGCCCATACTTTGGGTACATAGCGAGGGCCTCTAGGCTAGAATAAAACCTAAAAGAATTCGGGCCCATGGCCCTTATGAGCTGAAATATTGAATTTTCAAGTTTCAGCAGATAAGAAATATTTTGACCCTCTTTTGCAATTATCTTGAAAACAAAAATATGCTGTTAACTAGAAATTTCATGATAAACTGGTTGCATCATCAGCAAATTATTGTAAATTTTCCAGATTTTATCTCATTTATATAAGCCACAGTATTTTTTTTCTATTATATCAACCATCATCACAGAGGTAGTGGTTCACGAATGAGGCGAGATCACGTTTGTCGTCCATTTGCTTCATCGAAATCTCTTCTAATCTCGAATTATTGATCTGGTCAAAGAGACTCAAAGATATACTCCGCTGTCCAAGGATGTAAGAGATTAGAAATACTAGCTCACACTACGTCACGTATTCAATCACTTAACATCTATTTCAACAGACAATGGAAGCCGTTCGCTCAGCGTATATTCGATAACATTCAACTGAACGATACCGTCATTAACTTATCTGAACGAAACAATATACTACAGTTGAATTCTCTCTTATTCACAATCAGTTGTTCTCGCCTCAATTTGTACCTAAGATCAAGTATGCATAGTTCATGTCAGGATATATCGACCAGCATCCAGGAGATGTTGAGTCTGTCAACGAAGTTTGCTTCAACATTGATGATGATATTTGCCAATAGTCGAACTATCGCTTATTATGCTTTATTCAATACAGTCATTGCCGCAAGCTACTTTGCTTTGAACATTTCTCTGAAGCTTATCACTATCATAATTAGGTGTTTGCTGTCGTTCAATGTGAGGGTGTCATTTTTTTAAAAAGTGATATCTATAAAACTTTATTTTGTTCGGTCTCGGAATCTCCAAGAGAACGGATGTGGCTTATAGAAATGTAATAAAATCTGGAAATTTCACAGTAATTTGCTGATGATGTAACCAGTTTGTGATGGAATTTCTAGTTAACAGCATATTATTGTTTTCAAGATAATTGCAATAGAGAATCAAAATCCTTCTTATTTGCTAGAACTTGAAAATTCAATATATATCAGCTCATAAGGACCATACGCTCGAAATCTTTGTTTTATTCTAGTCTAGAGATCCTCTTCATGTACCCAAAGCATGGGTTCAAAAGCAGTTAATTACTTTGGCTACTTCTCTCATAAGCATTGGTTAAATACCCAATATCCCAAGAAGATTACATTCGTTTGAGCTGTGATTGTTCAATATATTCTAGTGGCCACAAGGCCTATCTATGAGCAAAGTTTCAAATACACATCTCCTAACTGAGTTTTCCATGAATGATTGACCTAGTGACCAAAAATCTTTTAAAACTATCATAACTCTGACTGAATAATGCATAAGCACGAACCCATTTAGAGTTTCCTTAGAGTCCTACTCAGTCTATTAAAAACTCTCCAAATTTAACGAGAAGTCAAAGATCTTCTCTATTCCACTCACTATGTTTGCTACATATGAATATATATATATCTGACTTCAATGGGTATTGTATAGAAATTTTCATTCAATTTTATATTTTTAAAAAGAATCATGTTCTTTCTATCAAACATCATTGCACAAGAAAAAAAAACCGAAAAGAAAAAAAAAGAGTTAAATTCGTCTAATAGCATTCAAACAATACAACAACAATATTTATACAAAAGAGAGAAGAATAAAGAAGTTAATAGTATTCGATAAATCACCACAATTATGAGTCTCTCTACAGAATACAATGAAATAACCTTTTCCATATTTCTTCATTCATATATAAAAACACAAAATTTAATCGACTAGAAAGAAAAAAAGAAATTGTTGTTTTAATCATGACTAGTCGTTTGTAACAGGTATCGATGATATTGTTGTGCTTGAAACAACTTCCATCCATCTAATTAAAAATAAATTATCACACAAAAAAAAACAAAAAAGAATTTTACTTACCGATCAAAAGCATATTGACTTTCAGCACGAAAAAAGTAAACATGATTTTTAAATTGAAGTTTAAATACAAAATCTTTATTAACACCATCTGTTTCCGATGGTAATGAACTACGATAACCAAGCAACGGTAAAGATGCTAATGGAAAATCATCCTTAAAGTATAAACAAGAAATAAAAAAAAAAAACAAAAAATAATAAACTTTGTTTTTTTACTTGATAAGTTTTATAAAAGAATAAACAAAAATTTGTAAAAACAACCCATAATTTTTGCCAACCATTTGAATTTTTAAATTTACGTAATAAATAACCACTTAATTGATTTTTAATTGATTGTCGATGATCATTCATTGATACAGATAAATTTCTATGCCAACATACATGCATTGTTGTATTAGCACGATGTTGAATACATGAACGTTCTATTTGATGTAATTTTTCTTCTTCAATTGTTCCTACATTTGAATGATCAAGATTTTCAGATGATGCTTCAAAAAAAGAAAAAGAAAATGAATATATTGAAATAAAAGAAAAATTTTTTATGATAATTTGAAGTACCATTCGATTTTAATGTAGATGTATATTGAGTTTTATGTTCATCACTACTGGTTTTGATATTTTCAATAGCTGATTTCAAATCATTCAACCATTTATTCTTTTCACATTCCGAACTAGAATAAATAATCAATAATTTATTTATTTATGCAAAAAATGTACATTTAAGATATCAATCATAATAATTTAATCGAACGATAATTTCTTAGATTCATATGGATTTTCAAAGTCTGATGTTTTCTATTTTAATTATATACATTCAAGACACAGTGAAAAACATTATAATTAGAGAATCAATTAATGTTGATCACTACAATAGCTAATTTTTTGTTAGATGCACTACAGTGAACGATGATTTTCCTTAGATTAGAAACATCAGCATCTATTGAACGGTGTCTTGGAAACCTTTCTG